AAGGGAATGCTGAACGAGCAAATTTCGACGAGAGCATTCACACATAGCACATCTAATATACATTATAATATACATTACAAGATATATTTATGTATACATACATAGACTCATATATACATTTTTGCACACATGAATAAATCTTCGTATTGATTTTTCGTATCACGTTAGGTATCTAGCCTAATTCTAAGAACTCAAGGTTGTTTCTTCATGTAATCTTCTAGTCTAGCAATATCAATTTTGTAAGTAGGCTGTACAATTTTTATATAAAGCAAACATTGATGCGACTTGATAGCTTTAGACGTCATATTAAAAAATATCAAATGGTAAAAGAGATCTAAATTATAAAAATTTTTCTCGTTCTTGAAAGTTCTACGAAAGTCATATGCTAGACACGTATCAAAATACATAAACTTTAATTGTGGAAAAGGATTTCCAAATCTATAAAATTAATATAAAATTAAATCGATACAAAAATTACCATATTCTGTCGGTCACAAACGAGTTCAGCATCCCTTGATTTATTATTTCTTTAACGTTTGACGAAAAGATTTTAAAAGATCGCGACATCTCCGGATGAAACGTTTCAGAATTATCACTAATTACTTGTTCCTACATCTCGAACAGATTTAGTGATAAGAGCGATTCATTATTCCTTCAGTATTTGAAGAGCTAATCTATCATTCATCGTGTCGCCTTTCGTGGATTGTTTTGCATAAGAAGTCTGTGTTAATTAATACTGTACGAGACGCTGTCGTCTCGATCGCAACATTAACAGAAGAAAAAAAAAGATCTAATTAACCGACAAGTTTAAAGTGTAATCATATTTCTTTAGTCGTATAATTGTTTGTCTTACGTCACTGGAGTTGCGGGTGGCATCAGGAACTTCATGATTTAATCCCCGTAAGAGATACGATCGTAACGATCGTAATTTGGCTTAAAGGGAGAACCTTTACAATGTGCTTTATAAATCCGCGAATACCATAAAATAATAACTGTTAATTAGTTTGTAATTATTATACCCCTCGCACTATGAGAGTTTTCTTTTTGAATCTGTTTTATTAACCGTGAGCTTCGAATTCGAAAAACGATATCGCGAATCTCGAGATATTTCATCAAGCAATTACCGGTAAGTTAAACGGCGAATTTTGTTTATTCGTTTTATCGATTTACAACGTCGAATCGTTATCTCACACGACGCACGAGAAGAGAGACTCGCGTCGACGTTCTATAAATGGAGAGACTTTGTTAGAATCAGAATGCCACCCGCAAAGAAACTCAGAGTTACTTGATGCGACGAGGATCGTTGTTTTTTAAAGAAAAAAAAAAAAATCAAATGTTCCAAGATCTTTACGTTGTCACGAATTAATTTCAGTAGTACAAAGTTTTCCAAATTCTGAATTCGATATGATTTGATATTTAACACAGATTTCTTACGATGTAAAATATATCGAATACGAGAAAGAAAAAGCTATTTCTTTCTCGTATTATCTCGTATTCTCGTATATATCGATGAAAATATTTCTTAAACTTTAGACAAGGACAATCAAGTCTTGCCCCAAGATTGTACAGTCCACTTTAAGTGAGTGACCCGCGTTCGCGGCTGATCAACGATTCTCGATGCCTTTACGTTATATGGCGGGAATATTTGGGGCACAATCGTTATGAGAGGACACAGAGACACAGTGATCTCATTTATTTTTTCATGATGCGCGCAACGAACGGACCAGCCGATCGATGCGAGGCGAGATCATTGATAGCTTAGCTTAGGCTCGGTTTAGTTCGCGACAGCTGCGTCCTTAATCTTGAAGGGTACCAAATACTGTCCGTTCTCGGCGAATAGCGAGAGTTAGCGAGACGGGTGAAAGAGGCCGGCGGAAGCGGCATTTTACATGAAGACGCTTATCCACTGGAGGATGTATCGTGAGAATTGAACTGAGATTCGTTGTACGAATGGCGGTTCCGTAGCCTAGGTGGAGAGACGTGACTTGATCTATTTATGAAATTGCGTATCGAGAAAGTAACGATTTTGAAATTCACCGTTGAATTTTCGAAGACTGTTACGACTTTGAAGTAATGAGAAATCTACGGGATTTCGATCGTCGTATCGTTTAGGATAATCTCGACGCGTTAGAGTATTAACGAAGAAACGTAAAAAATGTCAAAGATTTAGGTAATGTCCACGCGCGGAAAACCCGTGAGGAAAGAAAAGGAAACAAACGACGGTCGAGGAGAAACGAGACCGTGCGTTAAAAACGTGGATCTGTATAATAATAACGTTTAGCTTTATATCCTTTACTCTGTGCATGTTTTAGTGCATAGCTACTTATCGCTATCGATCGCTAGGGAAGAGACACACTGTTGATGTTACATACATTATATATACATGTACAAGATCGCATGTACGCGTGCGTTGCACGAGTTCCGCGTTAGCGGCGAGATGGTGCTTCATCGTCGCGTGATTCATTTCACGCGGGTGAAGAGATAACAGGAGATCCATCCGTAATACGAGAGTCCCTACAGGGGCAGATGTGACGTCACGAGTTGACATAATTGCCGAAAAGAATTATTAGATTCATTTTTTGTTTCCTTTGCATTAGTGGGCTGCATTACAGGTTTCTATCTTGCTTTTATCAAACTTTAAATATATCATGTTGATTAATCCCACGTCGCGAGAAATCGCGTTACGTCAATTTTACTCCGAAACATCGCAATCAATTCGAAGAAGACTTTGATTATTCTCAGGAGCGCGCGAATGACGTCACAGCTGCAGCGTCCGGGATATCGTATACGTTGATGTAAACGCGGTCACGACGCATGATGACGCAATAAAACGACACACTTGTATGTAGCGCGATACAGGGAAACGAAGAAACGAGAATCGTTCGTGGCTTTGCGTTGATTTCGACGACATTTGCCGCCTTATCCGACTAATTAGATAAGCTAGCAATTAGTACACACTGCGCGTACCTACTGCGAACGGGACAAACGAGTTGCATCAGGATTCCACGGTTCCGACGAGGATGCTTGTGTGCGTACATGTGTGTGCGCGCACGTGTGTTTATTGTGTACGTGTGCGCGCATGTGTACGTGTGTGCGTGTGCGTGTGTGAGTGAGTGAATGCGAGAACATTGTACGTGGGAGAGTTGCGTTAGTCATTTTATTTCTTTTTCCTATCTCTTTTTTTGTACGAGTGAGCGCAATCCTCATTCTTTTCCAAGTTCGCCTTTAAGGAGTCGTGCATTATGAAAACTATATCTCGTTGTGATCGTCGGGCTTGCAAGTCCGACAAGTCTTAATTATGAAATAAAAAAAGTTACAAAGTTTCGATGCAGATATACGTGTGTGTGTGTGTGTGTGTAAGAACCCATGTTTTGTTCCCTCGCTATTGACCACGCGTTGGCATGCGAAAACTTTCCGCCGTTCGTTCGTGCTACTCCTCTTGTTTCTTCTCTCTTTCTTTCCTCCTCTCCCTCTCTGTCTGGGTTCCCTCTTCCTTCACCGTCATTAAACGTCGACATCAAACGGTTCTGCCTAGTGTGTCTGATGACGGAGCGTGCCACAAATACATCGTGGACACGCGTACGCTGATATTATACGGGACGTCTCGTCATTACCGTTTCTTTGCGAGCGAGTCTCCACTTGAGGAAAATTTTCGAGCTAATTGCGGAATCGCTTAACGTAACGTCTCAGCATATTTATTTATTTTTACAAATGCGTAAACAGATGACAGAATCTCATTTTAATATTATCGAGCTATTTTCGTATAGATATCAATAATTTTGATAGTACTCAAGGTGCTTAATGTTGAAGCTTTTATAAATTATGTCAAGACAATATTAACTCACGTCTCGTCAAATAAAGTTCGTCGTCGTCGGAAATGACGATATGGTAACGGGACACCCCGTATAAGCCGGCAGTTCACTGGCCTTCTGATCGTTGGCGTGCATTGAAGCTGCCTCTACGTGCCAGCTTCTAGAAGATTTGCTTTCAACCTCGCACACCCGCCGATCTATCTCACGTTAGTACAGTAACTGCAGAGACGCCACGATAAATCGCCGCGATATTACGCGAAACCGCGATAAATTCTCCGGATATTTCCTGCCGGATTCTGATATCTTAGAG